AAAACTCAGTGCCTCTTTCAACAGCTGAAGTAGAATATGTGGCTGCAGCTTTTTGCTGTGCTCAGCTCCTATGGATCAAGAAACAATAGGAAGATTTTGGTGTATACACTAACTGTGTACCTCTCCTATGTGATAAACCCAGTGCTCTCAACATGACCAAGAATCCAGTTCAACACAAAAGAACCAAGCACATTGATGTGAGATATCATTTCCTGGGAGACAATGTGGAGAAGGGGCTTATCTGTATGAAGTTCTGCAGTACAGAAGACCAAATTGCAGATATCTTCACCAAAGTATTGAGTATGGAGCGTTTTGAAAGAAATAAGGTGAAACTTGGGCTATTGAAGCCTAATTGAGAACCTGATTCCCATTAGTTGGCTATGAAAATCACCTTCAGGTAAAATTAGCTAAAGTATTTTCTGGCCAAGTCTAACTCACTTCAATACCGTTGCAGGTAAACATGCATGATGATTATACAAACTGTAGATGCATTGCATGGGTGGTGAAAGAGGATTGAAAATTTTCAAAGACGGGTCAAGAACCTGGTTCTTGTACCAAATGTTAGTAGTCCTGTACAGTCTTTAATACACATCTTAAAAAGGTACAAATATCAATTGCCACGTCATCCACCTTTTCAGACTCTGCTGTCACGTCTTTTCGTTTTAAATCTTTTCCATCTCCATCTGAAATATTGCAACTCCCCAAGCACTACCGTCGTTTCAGAACCGGTTCCTATCTCTCTCCTCATAATTATCTTCTCTCATTAAAACACTCTATTCTCTTCACCGATCATATTACCCCATCAGACCTTCTCCAAAAAATTCTCAACTCTATCTCTTCAATGGCTGACAATCACTCCAAAATCCCTTCTTCAGTCGTCACTTACCCAGAGAAAACCCTTGAGTCCTCCGTCCATGATGAATCCTCTGTCACTCTCTCCAACCTAGATCTCCCTTCACTCTCCAGTTCTAATAAGACTATCTCAGACCTCCCTCTCTCTCCAAATGATGAGAACTCAGAAACCCCAAAAATCGATGATCCTTCGTCTTTACCGTCTGAGATTCTCACCGACCAAGGCAAAAGTGGAGAACAGGGTAAAACTCCAAAGTTTGTAGAAGTTTCAGGGGCTAGGGTTGATCAACCTTCCGCCATTGTTACTTCAGATTTTGTGGTGTCTATGGAGTCTCTAGAGGAGGAAACTGTCGCAACCATTTTTGTTGTATCTACAGATTGAATAGTGCATGAGGTAGTCTCTGGTGTACCGAAGTCTCAGAGGAATGAGACACAGGAGTCAGTGGGCGAATGGGCCATGGTGCTGGTTGAAAGCTCTACACCAGCAGAAACTATTGGGACTCCTCGTGAAGGACCTGACCCCTCTTCAGAGGAAACAGGTCAAGGATCCTTCTCCCGAGTCAGTTTTGCTCCAGCACCCTTTCCACAGCCCTTGGAGATTCTGGTTCCTGAGATGAGGTCTAGTGATGAGGAAGACCAAGATAATATTGCTCTGGATGCTTTCATCGTCAAGAGAAGGGCAGCACTCTCTCCTGAGTCCTCTACCAAGCGACCTACTACTAGGTTGAAAGCAAAAGAGGCTTATGAGTCTGCCCTCCAAAAGAGCAAAAGGAACCAGTAAGAAGAAAAAAAAGAGGTTGGTAAAAAATGGTGAGGTAGTATGTGAAAAAAATGTCCCTATGGTAGAAGTGGATGAGGAAGAAACAGAGGAACCTAGTTCCTTGGTTAACAGATCTCAGAAGAAGAAGCAATCTGCTTCATTGGAGGATGTTGCCACTCCTAGTTCAAAGGTGAAAGGTGTTGTGAAAGGAGGAAAATTAAAAGATGTTATGCGTGACTCATTAGTTTCTGATGAGGATGTTTTGGTCAAGTCGAGTGGAAAAGTCAAATCAAGTGTTGTGAAGTCTGGCAAGAGAAAGTTGGAACCTGCAAAGGAACCAGTTTCTTTAAAGAGGGTGAGAAGTGAAACTAGTTCTGCTTCAGAACGTTTGAGGCACCAAAAGGTTTTGTTGGGTCGCACTTTTGACCCAGCAATCTCTGATATGGCTGGTATGTGACAAGTAATTGAAAGGGTTGAATTTCAACGGTGCGAGCATCTGTTCCAAATAGATGAGCCCAAAATGTATGAGGATGAGGTTCGAAGCTTCTATGCTGACTTTTTCCCGTTGATACCGACCACATTTGTGCCTTAGTGAATGGGGTAGATATTGTGTTTGATGTGGCTCTGCTTGGGGATATTCTTAAAGTCCCTACTGTTGTTGTGTCTTCTGTAAAGGATGTGTGTGGTGCAAACTTCAGGAATGCAATTATAAAGGAAGGGGTGATCCAGCAAGGGGAACGGGTTCATAAGAAAGCCTTGTTGCCTATTTATCAGTTGCTGTTTGAGCTAGTGAACAAAGTTCTCCTACCCCGTGCTGAGAGGAGGTCCATGGCTTCAAAATCAGACCTGTATCTAATGGAGGCACTAGATGGATTTTCAGTTGTGAATCTGCCTGCTATCATGATTGAGCACATGCAGAAGGTAGCCACTTTCAAGGATGGAAATCATGGTCTTCCGTATGGGTTCCTCCTTACGTATGTGTTTAAGTTCTTCAAAGTGCCACTAGGACAGTTCAAAGTAGGGACCNAGGCAGCACATCGACAATCTCTTAGCTCATCAATGCACAAACAACGCAACTGAGGAGATTCGAAGATTGAAGGCAAGGAACGCTATCCTGGAAGGTCAGCAGGCCCAAGGGGCTCCAGAGTCAAATGAGGACATAGCTCGTTTGACAAAAGAAAATGCTGATCTCAAGGCACAAGTGGAGAACCTGAAAGCAGAACTTCTCACCAAGCAAAAGTCGGCGAATGCCCGAATAGACCTAGTTCTCCAAACCCTTGCTGCAGCTTCCAAGCCCTCTACTCCTAGTACCCCCTAAGCAACCCTTTTCAGTGACCAGTTTCTGGGTTTTCTATTCTTGTTTTCATGACTTGGCAGTTGTTTTTGTTTTTTTTATTTTGATATGGATGAGATGTATCAGTACTGCTCCCGATTTCAACAGTCCAATCTTTGCCTTTGCTTTATAAGCAAAGGCATATGTTTTATATATAAAAACTATCCTCTTTTGCTATCTAAATGCTTATGTTCTCTGTTTGTCTCTTCTATCATGTTGTGTGCACATATGTGGCATGAGTTAGCTAGCTAGACTTCTTCATGTTGATTGCTTGCTTGTGTATTTTTAATGATGCCAAAAGGGGGAAGTATAATTGAAACAGGGATCTGATTAAGGGGGAAGCATAAAGTCAGGGGGAACTTGTAAAGTTCATGTTGCTTCATCTGGTTGTTTCTGCTCTAAAAAATGTGTTACCAATGTTTAAGTTTGTCATCATCAAAAAGGGGGAAATTGATGGGTTTTCAATGTCTCGGCGTTATATTTTGATGATCAAACAAACTTACTGTTAAGAACCAGATAGGGAACCCGACACACTTGGTATACATTGCTAATCAACAGACTCCAGCTAAATGTGAACCGCTACAACTTTAGGAGATAGAGAACCAACACAAGGACCTGATACCCTTGTGGTTCCCTGACAGCAGTACGAAGTCAATTATGTACAGCTAGAAAGTGATGTGACTACCTGCACTGTTTCTACCTACAATGCACTCTTCCCGCGATCACTTGTCCTTTGACCAACTAAGTGATTACATCATTCAAGTGATGTCATCCAAGTTGTATTAACAAAAGTATTACAACAAAACATCACTTGAACACTTGAGAATTCACTTCAAGCATTCAAGCCATCTGATATTTGAGCATTCAATTCTCAAGTGCATCAAGAACAAAGTTTAACACTACTATGGACCGGTTCCTAGATCCAGTATTTTGTTGTCCTTAGTTGAGTTGTAACTTTGTAATCATTTTTCATTGTAATTCTTAATTTGCTTAGCTAGAAGCATTGCTTAGGAACCCTCTTGTAAAATCATAAACCCTTAGTGTTTGTATCGTGACAAGAGTTAGTCATGAGTTGAAGTCTTTGTAATAGATGTATTGCAAAGTGACTTGTAATAGGTGTATTACAAGTTAGTGAGGGATTAAGAGTTTACTTCCTAGGTTACAATAGGTTGTAATCTAAAGATTGCTCAATAGTGAAGTTGAAATCCTACCAGTGTAAGTCGTAATTTTTTATCCCCTTGAGCAGGGATTTTTCTACGTAAAACTCCATGTCCTATTTACTTACTGTTTCATTAGTATTCTCAGTGGGAACTCATAAGAGGACCTGGTCTCTCTATAGCTTGGTGGACTCACATAAATTATCAGTTTTTTTTCTTTGCTCCACTCCTAAGTAACATCATAAATCTAAAGGTAGAATGGTGCAAAAAATTACTCTCCATACACAACATATGCATGGAGAAGCACAGGTCGGATGGAGTTTTCAGTAGAAATGACACCAGGTAGCCACTATAAATGATTGCTATTTAGGAATTAGCCAGTGCATCCTGAATTTCAGTTTTTCGGTTCAATTTTTAAATGTCCTGAAATTAAGATTTTAGTTTAAAATTTCAGAACAAAATAAATACTTGCTAATCTCTAAATAACATCCCTGAAAATGACTATTTGTGTACTTACCCTGAGTTTTCAGGGACTGAATCGCAGGAAAGATGCACCAAACAAAAAGAGGAACTCACTATACCCAGCTAGGCTCCAAAAGGTAAATAAATTTTTGCAGTGATAAAATATGAGGTTAGAGCCCACTGCCCCATAACCTTCTGCTTAAGCTACCGATTTGCAGCACGAAAGCCCAAGAATCTACTCTAATATCAGCATTTTCCTGATAGGTGCAAATGCCGACTGAAGCTTTTGTTGGCACAATCAAGAAACAGAAACTAGAAACCTTTAAAGGCAAGAATGACACCTGAGACCCATTTCTGGCATCCAATTATGAGAAGTACGACAAATCTCAAAGCTCGAATGAGTGTAGATATGGCACTCTTCATGTGGAAGGTGATATGTCAACAGTGATTATCCACTGGATCGTGTCAACGGAACGAAGGGAAGAGAGACGAGGCAGGGCTGGGCTAAGTAAATGCACTTTCCAGTAAATTATCTAATGATTCCAGGGTATATTTTGAGTACAGGTTCTATCAGTATACAGCAGAAAGAAAGCACTCTAATAAAGAGAGCTGCCTAAAACACAACTTATTCCACATGCGAAAGGCCTCCGCCACCCTCAGCTCGAGTCCTGCACACATATATACCATCTTTTAGTTGACTAATGGACAACAGAAAAGTGCAAAAGGGAGCTGAAGCCAAATTTGAGGAATTGGGGGGGGAGGGGGGGCAGCCTGATTTTACATGCATACATGGATCCGATTTTTCTTTGGAGCAGCGTGTATGCCGTTTGGCGCAATACGGCATACACACTGCTCCAAAGAAAAAGATCATAGCATCAAACTATTTTTTTTTTCCGGCAATAGTAGTGTATGGGCCAACTTGTGCGCACCTCGAGTATTTCACCGGTATATACTACCTCCCACTAGCACAGGTACCGGGTAACTGCGCCCACCAAGGCTGAAGGCATATGGGAAGTAATCACCTGGTGTTTTTGCCTCCGTTGGGATTTGAACCTGAGACGTCATGGTTCTCCCCCAACTCTATTGACCGCTAGGCTACATCCTTGGGTGCATAGCATCAAACATTTTTAAGCCTCAACACCTCTATGCTGGACTTACTCAGAATAGCTGGCGGAGAACTCAAAAAATCAAGTTTTCATGCAGTATTATGTACGCTCCAAGAATATATAAAAAATAGAGAAGTTCTATTAGTACGTATATACAAGTGTTTTAAACTCTTTAAATTTAACGTACATTTTTTTTGGTTTTTGAAAAGTAACATAGAAGTTCATTTGGGAGAAACTTAAGGTTAGGGGATGTGCAAGTCAAAGAAAAAACTCAAAGAGCGCAAAGCTAGTACATTTTCCATTGAAAAGCTTAAACGTCCCTGTTGTCTGCAGCCCAGCAAAATATGTAACCATCTCATGCAATTAGGATAAAGTACACTGGCACTCCCCAAGTTATTTAACACTCTTCCTATTTTGGGATTTCTCAAAATGTTTGACACCATCAACTAATAAAATTATTTTAGACAACTTTTACAAGTTTCAAGAACTAAAATTTATTTAGTGAATTATGGTTTAAATTTGATGTGATATTTTCTCCACCCAACTAGCTTTTCAACTATTACTATAGTATTTACTTGTTACTGAAATTAAAAAAACTATTATGTTATTATTTTGTTCTACTACAAACTATATATATTAAACAAGTCAAACAAATATTTCAACCTCCACGCTATCAAATAGACTTACAAAGAATGGGATGGACGGAGTATAAGATATCGGGGACCAAAAAATAGGGCAGCCGGTGCACTAAGTTCCCGCTATGCGCGGGGGGACTGCCAGAGTAAATTTCTACTGATACTCAATCTAAAAGCTAACTCGATTTGAAATTTCTCTAGTATTAGACATGAGGACTACCTGAACAATTTTGTTCTTAATCATCAATCTGCAACTTAATAATTCATATCCTACCAGAGAGTGAAGCCATTTCAGAAAATCCAAGACACAACTAACATTGATTTTGCATTTGAATTAAACTGCCAAAGTAGGAGTAACACTGCAGAAACCCAACATACAATATCTTTCTAAAAGGGCGAAGGGTAACTCACTTGTGGTCAGAGGGGTTAGGTACAACCTCATAAACAATATTTGCAACAACGTCCCTCTTCAGCTGAACAAAATTATTTCGGAAAAAAGTTATGATAAATATTTGAAACCAGTGACCATGAAATTCAAACATTTTTCACTCTGATTACCTGGGTGGCTTCTCCTTTCAAACCAATATAATGTATTTGTGTTGTATCACCGCCAAAATTATCAGGGAAATGCAAGGTGATATTTCCCACACTCTGAAACCTAGAATACCTGAATGAATATTTACAGACAGCATGAGACAACCAAAATAGACAGCCAGAATATAAGCAACCTTCTATAACAGTGATCTGAACAATTTGCTCCATGAAAATACCAGAAAATTTATATTATGTAAATTGCACTTATGAAATATAAATGCCAATGTACGTGCATGCTTGCGTGGGAACAGTGTACAAAGTTGCAATTACAAAATTGCCTGAAAGACCATGCAGCAGCAATGTTAAGGATAAAAGGAGTAATATACCTTGTCTGGTACTCTAAAACTCCTTGCAAGTTTTCGGCTAAATCCCACTCCTTACAAGTAAAAAAAGTATCAGCACAAGTGGTTGGGGTGCAGGAGGAGGTATGTTCTAGGCATCAAAACTTTCAAAAGCTAACTTGAGAAGATACCTGAACTGGACTTATCAGAAAAAAAAAAAAGGTTACTCCTATATATAAGCACCTGAACTGGTTGCATAGATTGAGCATCTGAAAAATCAATGCCATCCCGATTGATGAACCTGGATTAATCGCAAGAGTGTATTAGGGCAGATAAAACTTCTAAGATACTTGTTGAAGAAGTATATATGCCTGGGATCTCAAGAGAATTGTTATAAGTGGCAGCAGCCAGCAGCAGATTGAATGTGCTAGCTAAAAGAAAAGGGAACATACAATGCAAGAAGTGTTAATACTATACTCACGCTCTCATCTTAGCTGGACTTGTTCCATCAGCGCCACCGACAATTGCTATGCTCTTGATTTTAACATCTGCTGTGAACCTATCATGATTGAGTTCAGCCAATGAATATAAGATGACAGTAACATGGAGGTGTTAGATGGACAAGAGAACGACAATCAATATCTACAGACACAATCTTCTGTCCTCAAACCACAATGAAGATAAACCACTTCCTGCTGATATGTCTGCAACACGATCAACATGACTTGATATTACCTGATTTCTGCAATATCTAGTTGATGACTTAATTACTTTAATGGTGGAAATTACAGCAAAGAAATTTGGAAAGTTATGTTGTAATTGAATCAGATCCTAGAATTTCTTATTCAAGGGTTAGCCAAAAGAATGAAAAAAGGAGGCATCCAATCATCCATATTTTACTGGGAAGATTCAGGTTCGGAAAGAGAAACGGCAAAAATGCAGGAGAGAATCATTTGGACAGATAGGGAGGCAAAAAGAGGGGAATGGAGATAAACGTTGGTGAACAAAATGTTATGTTTCCTTTCCGAGTCCAAAATTGGGTGAAGATGCAGGAACAGAAGGATCTTCTAAATAAAATTTTATAATGCCATCATAGACCTTCAATTGTTTTGTAGGAGAAATAGTTCATCAAGGGAACTGGTATCACATGGGACTCATTCCTTCCTTTTCTTTCACAATCAATCCAAAAGAAAGGAAATATTACTCCTCTCCTCCCTCCTCCCTCTTTCCGTTTACTCTTTTTCTTTACAATAGAACAAGAAACAACCTTATAAAGGTTCATCCTCTTATAATCAACATTATATTGCCTTTGGCTTCATGTTCATCTTCCAGAACTTCTAAACTTTGCAGCAATCAAAGCCTTTTCTTACAGCTCCTACTTTATATTGACTTTGGCTTCATGTTCATCCTCTCTAAAGGATTTTTTCCTTCATTTTCCTCAAAGAGACGAGCTGCAACATGAATCGAAGTAAAACCTGTTCTTGCAGCTCCTACTTCATCAACTGGACCGGTTTATTATTTGAATGAGCAAATGTGAACTGTTGGTTCAAACAAAGGACAGGAA